ATCATCAAAAAACTGAATATCAGGGGGTATTGTTATATAGAACCTATACGAAGACATGAACCTGTATATGAAATTATTTGTCATAGCCTGCAGTATCGATTACGGACTTTAAATACAAAATTTGAAACAATTCCGGTTTGTAATGATTCTAAAATCGTAAAAAATACCGAATATTGGAAGGTACCATTATGTAGGGACTGTACGAAGACGTGGACCTTCATAAGTAATGTTTTTGTCAAATTTTGTAATAACAATTAACATCTTCCAGTACGAAATTTGAGACGATTCTTGTCGCTAAAATCATCAAAATTCCGAATATTGAGAAATACTGTTATATATGACCGATATGATACTTAACCTGCCTACTGGCAAAATATACATGTGTGCATTTTTGCACAGACGGACGCCGCTAAGTCGACTTCAAATTTTACGCTGATCAAGAACATATAATTTGTTGGATCTGACATGAGTATTTCGAGGAGCTACAATCGGAATGATAAAGTTAATATAGCCTAAATAGTATAGTGGAGGGTAACATATAAAAATCTGCTAAATACACAGGGATATGAAGATTGTCATAAAGTCGGCCCTGACATAGGTGTGTCCTTTCTTTACTTCTGATTTTTGGTGTTTAGGTCTTAGTCATTTTTTTCCTACCTCATGAGCAACAAGAATCTCTTTCTGACAAAAATATTAAACATATTTTCACATCTTGACATAGTCCCTTCGGATTTTGACGCCTTTTTAAGGAGATGTAAATCCTCTCAGAAAAACTAAAAACGCTCAGTGTAGGTCTATAATTTGATGTAGTCCCGTATAACATTACTTCTTAATATTTTACATTTCAATTGTCAATTTTCAAAAATATGAGTTCTCACGGAAAACAAATTCTATACCTATGATTCCCATTTTGATATAAGCCCCTTATGGCGTTAGCGACAAATTTAATCGGTTTTAAAGGGTCTTGGTCCAAAAGGATAAAGGTGTCTGCGCCAAATTATTCAAAGTAGACCCATATTTTTTTTTTGGAATGGATCCCATATAATGGTATGTCCCAATATTTTGTAATAAATACATAACATTTGGAACAAATGAAAAAAATTGTTGGTTCTGCAATAAGGTTCATACTTGAACCGATACCAACTATAATTGATACCGAAAGCATGTGTAGAGATTTTAGAAGACAACAAGTAAAAAAGCAATTAAGCTTTCCCGGGCTGAACTTTTAATACCCTCCACCACGTTGAAGGAACTTGAAAACTTTCCAAAACTAAAAAAATATGCCAAAAAAATACCGCTCGAAAACCATTATATGGGGCTATTTGAAGGAATGGTCCTTCTATACAATTTTTTGTCAATTCCGGTTAAAAAAATGTCGCTAAAATCATCAAAATAGTGAATATCGGGGGGTAGCTTTGCATCGGAGCTATTCGATATCGTGGACCAATTAGCCAATTTTCCTTCAGGGGGGCAAAGTACTCACAAAGAATTTCATGCGTAGAATTTCAGACAATTCCCTTGGAAAAATGTGGCTAAAATCATCAAAATACCGAATATCTGGGGTTGGATGTCTTTAAATCGGGGCTATACGATATCGTGGACCGACATAGCCCATCTTCGAACTTGACCTGCCAGTACACAAAGGACTGATCTATGCATTTTAGCTTCCTATCTTAATTCGTTTTGACTCTAGATTGATTACAACAAACAGGTGGACGGACATGACTAAATCGTCTTCGAATTTTACGATGATCAAGAATATATATACTTTGCGGGCCTAAAATTATTATTTTTTTTAAATTAAAAACGGAATGACGACCTAAATATACCCTCCATACTATGTATGGTGGAGGGTATAAAAACTGGAAAAACGCTTTATTTCTACCTTGATTTATTATGGACATTAAAAAAACGACACACCCTCGTCGGGCTTTGAACCTAGAACCTTCTGCTTTATAGTCTGGTACCTCTAACACAACACCATCATTATAGTCCGGGAGCGGCTCTCTCACATCGATAACTTACTCTCTTTTTTATTTTCATACGCTCGTACCTCAATTTACTGCTTCCAAAATTACAACCCTGTAAATGGAAATGAAAGCAGTTGAAGTACCATTGTAAGTAAATTGCTCTACAAAAGCCAATTTTACCAAACATGGGCCAAGTCCCCACCACTCCTTTCCTGCAAATAATCGGAATTAAAAAAGAAAAATGAAGAAATTCTATGATTTTCGCGACTTTAAATGATTTATTTTACCTGGAGAAAAATCAAATGGAATGACACTGGTGATCGGAACTTAGTGTTGAAGAATTTTTATAATTTCAATTTACATTACACATGTCTTAAGACTTAAATTTAATCTTAAATTTATGTGACATCAATTTGGGATTGTGCTGTTTGGTGTTATTTTCTTCCCGAACTGAAATAATTTAATATGTTTTTTACAATCCCGCATATTTTCAAAAAAAAATTGTTTAAATGCCTCCAATAATTTTTTTAAAATAATTACAAATTTGTTAATTTTTGAATTATCCTTAAAATATAATAATACCAATCATTAAATAAAATTAAAAAAATTTAATTTTCAAAATCCTTATTCAAAATTACTTAATCCTGGATTCGTGTGAATATCAAGGCCGATCACCGCTAAATATTTAGTCAGCATTTTCGCAACAGCTCCTGTGGCGCAATTGGTTAGCGCACGGTACTTATAATCAGTAACTTGTGAGCAATGCCGGGGTTGTGAGTTCGAGCCTCACCTGGAGCAGTGGTTGTTTTTTATTTTATTTTTTTTAAAGATTAACCAAAACGACCTTCACATACAAAAGAAAAAAACTAGCATGGGAGAAAATAATATAATTATGAGTATTTGCATTTAAATTTCCAAACCCTTTCATGGTAATTATTCACATGTGTTGGATTTCATTGAATTGGAGAAGGGTGGATTTTATGTTTTCATATTTTATTTTATTTCATTTATTTTTTTTTGTAATTTAAATTCCTTTTCCATTGTTGATGTGCTAATTTCTGTCTCGCCGCCTATCTTTCTGGTGTGGTGATGGTGGTGTTTTTAGCTGTTGTTGTTGAACAATGTGAATGGGATTCACATGAAAAAAACACATCTCAGGTGTTCGTTTGCCCCCATTCCGGCCAATCATCTTTCTCAATTGTGTCTTTCTTGCAACATTTGCAAGATGATGGGTGCCAAAAAGAAAAAAAAAAAAATAACGTTCAACATTGATGTCTGTTTGGGTATGTAAATTGGTTTTGAACATTTGCTGAATGTGAATGTTTGCCTGTCTGTGAGGTGTTTTGAAATTATTAATGGAAATTTTCTATGATGAATTGAAAATAAGTATGTATGGTTTTTGAAACTGTCTCCAGTGACAAGTAACTTATCATTCATAACATTAGTCACACTTCCAGTAGATTTTCCTGCCATAGAAGAAACTCAGAAGGTTTAAATTTTGCAAAAGGTCATTGAAAGGTTGTCTATGGGAGGCAGATATAGCCTGCTTTAGTCTGTATGGGGGCTATACGAACACAGACCTTCATATGCAGTTTTTATTATAAGCTGTAGTAACGATTCCGCAATTCTAATACAAAATTTAAAACAATTCCGGTGATCAATCATCAAATCATTAAAATACGGAATATTGGTAGATAGATATTGGCGCCTATATGAAAACATAAACCGACATGGCCCTACTGGCAAAATACACATTAGATTATGTCAATTCATTTGAAATATAGCATGATTAGAACAGAGACACTGACATCGCTAAATCGAGCTAGAATTTTACGTTTATCCAATATTTCGTGGAGCTACAAAAGGGATGACAAAGTTAATTTACCCCCCATAGAATATCTTAGATATGCTAACCTCAGATAACGTAGATCCAGTATTCCAGTATGTAGATACATTATCCATGTTATCTAAATGATGTAGATACATAATGCGCGTTATCCAAATGATGCAGATATTTTATCTATGTTATCCAGATAATGTAGATACTTCGTTTATGTCATCCAGATACATTATCTACGTTATCGAATAGGTGTAGATACTTATCCGCGTTATCCAAATGATGTAGATACATCATCTACGCTATACAATAGGTGTAGATACTTTTCCGTGTTATCCAAATGATGTAGATACATTATCCGCCATATCCAATTGATGTAGATATATTATCCGCGTTATCCAAATGATGTAGATACATTATCTACGTTATCCAATGGGTGTAGATACATATCTGCGTAATCCAAATGATGTAGATACATTATCTACGTTATTCAATAGGTGTAGATACTTATCCACGCTATCCAAATGATGTAGATACATTATCTAGGTTATCCAATAGGTGTAGATACTTATCCGCGTTATACAAATGATGTAGATACATTATTTACCTTATCTAATTAGTGTAGATGTATTATCCGCGTTATCCAAATGATGTAAATAATATATCCGCATTATCCAGATACTGTAGATGAATTATCCAAATGATGTAAGGGCTTTTATGTAGGAGGCGTCTGATATACCTTCCAAAACCTTTTGTATAAAAATTCCGATTTTTAAACAATTTTAAATGTTTATTATTTCTCTTATTACCTATCTTAATATATTAGCAGCAATGTATGCATGCCGGTACCATGTTACGTGCATTCCGATCATATGTAGATTATTTCTTATTGCAGGCGACCAATGGCCTACGAAGGCATGCAATCTGAGCAGGCCTAAATTTATTCACTTCAAAAAACAAACAAAATGCAGCCATGACTCTGCATGGATTCATGGATCATTAACACCAAATTAGTAATAGGTGACTTCCGTAAAATAACAAATTACATAATTATATTTGAACAAAATTCGAACAGTCATAAAGAGTTTTTTGGTCTCAAGAAATTATTAAATACATTTCAAAATTATTTCATAACTTTCACTTAATTTTACTGACTTTGTCTAATTTCCAAACCCTCTTTCTTTTTATTTCAGGGTATGCAGTCGTCCAATATCAGTTCTCCGCGTGAATCGTCATCGAATGGCGGCAGTGCATCACAGGTCTCCAACACATCAGTACCCAAAGTCTTTCACAACACCCGCTGTACCCGCCATCACAAGGCTCACAGTCATTCGCCGAATCGTACCAGCAATGGTATGGCCGTGGGAGCCGATATTGCCCATCACACACTGAACGGTCATAGTCACAATGGTCATGGTCACATTCATCATTTGCCCAGTGCCGGTCATCGAAAGAAAACCGAATCGGTATTATCAACAGATTCGGATATACGCTTTACGCGACGAAAATTGGGAGATAGTCAGAAGTGTGGATGTGCTGTGATTGCAGGATTTCTAGTCGCTCTACTAGTGGCTGGTGTGTTTGTTTATGTGGGGTGTAAGTGGGGGATTGGAAGGGGGTTTGATGGAATTTATTTTCTGATTATTTGTTTTTTCGTTTATAGATACCTATTTCAAACCGGAACCATTGTCTGATCGAATTTTCCGTGGCAAATTCCAAATATTAAATGACAAATGGTCCATGGATTTGGCAAATCAAAATTCGTTGAGGTTCCAGCAAAAGTCAAGGGATTATAGGGAACGCATTAATCTGTTGGTGAGGCGTTCCGATTTACGTGAGGCCTATGAGGGTAGCGAAATTTTGGCATTAGATGGGTGAGTAGTTGTTTTTAATTTAAACAAAAATGTCGGATGACATAAGTGCATAATCCACGTTGATCGAATAAGGTCAATACATTATCCGTAAATTTAACATAATGTAAATACATTATTCGCGACTTAAAGATAACGTAGATGCATTATTCATTTTTATCCATGAATAAAAATCGTGGCCGCGTCTTTGAGATAATGTAGGAAAATTACAAATTGACATAAAAAGTCATTATCCACGTTATCTAAGTGATGTAGATACATTATCCACGTTATGCAAATAGTGTAGATACATTATCCACGTTATGCAAATGATGTAGATACATTATTTACGTCATTCAAATAGTGTAGATACATTACTCACGTTATCTAAGTGATGTAGATACATTATCCACGTTACCCAAATTATGTAGAGACATTATCCACGTTATCTAAATGACGTAGATACATTATCCACGTTATCCAAATGATGCAGATACATTATCCACGTTATCTAAGTGATGTAGATACATTATCCAAGTTATGCAAATAGTGTAGATACATTATCCACGTTATCTAAGTGATGTAGATACATTATCCAAGTTATGCAAATAGTGTAGATACATTATCCACGTTATCTAAGTGATGTAGATACATTATTCACGTCATCTAAGTGATGCAGATACATTATCCACGTTATCTAAGTGATGCAGATACATTATCCAAGTTATGCAAATAGTGTAGATACATTATCCACGTTATCTATGTGATGCAGATACATTATCCACGTTATGCAACTAGTGTAGATACATTATCCACGTTATGCAACTAGTGTAGATACATTATCCACGTTATGCAACTAGTGTAGATACATTATCCACTTTATCTAAGTTATGTAGATACATTATCCAAGTTATGCAAATGGTGTAGATACATTATCCACGTTATCTAAGTGATGCAGATACATTATCCACGTTATCTAAGTGATGCAGATACATTATCCACGTTATCTAAGTGATGTAGATACATTATCCAAATTATGCAAATAGTGTAGATACATTATCCACGTTATCTAAGTGATGTAGATACATTATCCAAGTTATGCAAATAGTGTAGATACATTATCCACGCTATCTAAGTGACGCAGATACATTATCCACGTTATCTAAGTGATGTAGATACATTATCCACGTTATCTAAGTGATGTAGATACATTATCCAAGTTATGCAAATAGTGTAGATACATTATCCACGTTATCTAAGTGATGTAGATACATTATCCAAGTTATGCAAATAGTGTAGATACATTATCCACGTTATCTAAGTGATGCAGATACATTATCCACGTTATCTAAGTGATGTAGATACATTATCCAAGTTATGCAAATAGTGTAGATACATTATCCACGTTATCTAAGTGATGCAGATACATTATCCACGTTATCTAAGTGATGTAGATACATTATCCAAGTTATGCAAATAGTGTAGATACATTATCCACGTTATCTATGTGATGCAGATACATTATCCACGTTAAGCAAATTGTGTAGATACATTATCCACGTTATCTATGTGATGCAGATACATTATCCACGTTAAGCAAATTGTGTAGATACATTATCCAAATAGTGTAGATACATTATCCAAGTTATGCAAATAGTGTAGATACATTATCCACGTTATGCAAATAGTGTAGATACATTATCCACGTTATGCAAATAATGTAGATACATTATCCACGTTATCTAAGTGATGTAGATACATTATCCACCTTATGAAAATTGTGTAGATACATTATCCACGTTATCTAAGTGATGCAGATACATTATTCACGTTATCCAAATAGTGTAGATACATTATCCACGTTATCTAAGTGATGTAGATACATTATCCGCGTTATGCCAATAGTGTAGATACATTATCCACGTTATCCAAATGACGTAGATGCATTATCCACGTTATCAAATAGTGTAGATACATTATCCACGTTATCTAAGTGATGCAGATACATTATCCACGTCATCCAAATAGTGTAGATACATTATCCACGTTATCTAAGTGATGTAGGGATATTACGTTATCTAAGTGATGTAGATACATTATCCTCGTTATCCAAATGATGTAGATACATTATTCACGTTATCCAAATGATTTAGGGATATTATCCACGTTGTCCAAATGACGTAGGGATATTATCCACGTTATCCAAATGATGTAGATATATTATCCACGTTATCTAAATTAAGTAGAAACATTATCCACGCTTTGCCAATGATGAAAATACTATATCTTTGTTATCCCAACTCTGTAGATAAATTATCCGCGTTTTTTTAATGATGTAGACTCTTTATCTGCATTATCCAGATAATATAGCTGCATTATCCACTATATCTAATCTATATTATCACATTTTCCGTGTTATGCGGATTATGTAGATACATTATCCGACTTATATAGATTATTTAAATGCATTATCCACCTATAAATTAATTATCCAAATTATCCAGATTAGACTTTTTTCTAATTTATTTTTCCTTGTTTTCCAGTTTTGAGGATAAAAGTGATATTTTGGTCCATTTCAATATGGTCTTTGATCCGTATGCCGGTTTGGTAAATACCGCCGATCTTTTGGCATTGTTCGGCGAGGAGTTCAACTGCCCTCATCCTCGTTATTTCGCCAACGTTACCGTCGACCCACAATCGCTGATGATCAAAGAAGTTACGGGCTTGATTGAGGAACCCATTATGTCCTCTTCCCCGCTGGGTGGAGATGATGAGACCACTGAAATTATTACCACCACACCCAGACAACCACGTCGTTGTGAACCTCTGAAATTGAATTATTGCCGATCGATTGGATACAATATTACGACATACCCCAATTTGCTGGGTCATACGTCCTTCGAAGAGGTACAGGCCGATGTGATAGCCTTTCGTGAGTTGGTCGATGCTGAGTGTTTCCGTGAAGCTTTTGATTTTGTGTGCCGTCTGCTGCAGCCACCCTGTGAGGGGCAAATTAATGTGGAACCCTCACCGGGCATCATGTGTCGAGAGTATTGTGAACAGTTTATGCGGGGTTGTGGTAATCGTTTGCCCAAACGTTTCCAGAAATATTTCGATTGTGAAAAGTTCCCCGAATCGACGGGTATCCAGTCGTGTCATCACAAGCCCCGCTGTGCCAGCGATATGCAAATGAATGCCCATAGTCCGCGTTTGTGTGATGGTGTTGCCGATTGTCCTGATCTGTCGGATGAAAGGACTTGTACGTTCTGCACGAGTAATTCGTTGTACTGTGGTCGGGGTAGAGCCTGTGTGCCGCGTAAGGCTCGATGTGATGGCAAGGCCGATTGCCCGGATGGTTCGGATGAAAAGGATTGCCGTAAGTCTTAGGAACTTGATTTTAATTATTTTTTGAAATAATTTTTAAATATTTCCTTTCAGTCTCCATTGCTCCCTTGGCTTCGGAACTAATTGATCCTGAGCCTTTGGTTCCCTACTTGCCGAGATTCCATCCCGAAGGCTATGCGGTATTTTCTGAAAAGGGTTCGGTGGGCAAACTTTGTGCTGAGGGTTTGGAGGGCGATAGCAAGCTGGTGGTGCGGCAAACTGTGGCCGAGTCGCTCTGCAAATCTTTGGGTTATGAGTGAGTATCCTTAGAGAAAATCTCTAATTTCGAAGTTAACACAAATACCTCTCTTATTGCAGATCCGTTGAAATATTCGATGTGGTTACGGACACAGAAAATATCAACGACTATGTGAGGGTTTTGGATCCCCATGCTCCGGAAATCTCCTTTGTGCGTACCCATTGCCCCCGTCGCCAGGTACTCTATGTGGGTTGTGATGAATTGCAGTGTGGCATACAATCGGTATTGACAGGAAAACAACATCTCACCTTACCCAAAATGTCTTCGCCCGGAGATTGGCCTTGGTTGGCGGCCCTTTATCGTGAGGATATACATGTGTGTGATGGGACCTTGGTAAGAAATTGAAATTCGGTAATTTTGCATTGAATTGCATAATTTTTTCATGTCTCCCCCTTTAGATTTCCCCCGATTGGGTCCTGACCACAGAATCCTGTTTCCAAGGCCAACCTAGGGCCACCTGGATGGCAGTGTTTGGCTCGGTGCGTCTAGCCTCCAAGGCTCCTTGGACCCAAAGACGTCGCATCATTGGCATGATTAAAAGCCCTGTCGAAGGTTCCACGGCAGCTTTGATACGCCTTGAAACTCCCGTTGTCTTTTCCGATCATGTCCGCCCAATTTGCTTGCCAGATGAACAGCAACGACGCCAAGAACAACAAATTCAACGTCGTGCCTATATACCCAAAGCCGAACGTCTGGAGGGTAAAAGTGGTGAAGCCATTAAACTTCTCGAACACGAGACCCAACAATATTTCGAACTGCCCGCCTTTACAACCAGCTCCGAAATCTCGGATTCCGATGAAAACATAAACGATTCTTTTGAATCATCTGCCTATAGAATGCCTCAAGCTGAATCCCTGGTATCAGAAGTTGAATCAATGGATTTTGATAGTTACCCCCTGCCCGAAAGTAATCCTCAAGTGCAATATTATGGTGTAAATCAGACGGCCACAGCAACAACACCGGCTGGTGTTGGTGCCAAGGCAACGACGAGTGTGGCGGATCAGCAACCCGAACAAATGTGGACAATGTGCAATACATTGGGTTGGTCACGACAGCGTGATCATCTACAGCGAGTCCAGCTGAAAATTGGCGACATGGCGGCGTGTGAGAATGTCTCAATCGCCACGGTGAACAGCATGTGCACGGAGGCGACATATCAAAAGCATGACTGCACGGTAAGTTGAGAGGAGTATTATATCCTATGTCTTAGGGATACAGAGGGAAGTTATAATTTTTTATACCCTACTGTGGTCAGGGTATTATGTCTTTGTGCATTTGTCTGTAACATAGAGAAGGAAACGAGTTAGACTCATAGTTCCTTCTGATGATCTGCATATAATCACATTCTAATTCGGTTTACGTATGTCCAGAAGCATTTTGAATTTTTGCAAACAAAGTTTGCCCGATCGAGATGATATTTTGCACAAATCGTTTGTTTGGCTCAAGAAGGAACCCTATTGAAATTGGAGATAGTTGGCAAAAAAAATTGATATAGCTCCCATATATACCTTCGTCCGATTTCTCCCTTATTGTGCACCAAACGTGTAATTTTAGACCAAAGTGGATGGAATTTGATACATATAACCAAATCGAGCCTAGAAACAAGTGTGTCAAATTTGGTGAAAATCGGTTCAGACAAGACTATAGGTCTCATATATATTCTTCATCTGATTTGTTAAATTTCTCCAATTTTCCTTCACAGCCGTAATATGCTCTCCATAACAACGATATTCGGGGAAATATATCAAATACAGAAATACTTTTGCCAATTTTTATCGAGATCGGTTCAGATTTGGATATAGCTCCCATATATATCTTCACTCGATTTCATGAATTTCTTCCAAGGACCAACAATGGCACAAATTCTATATTTTTATGAATTTTTTCCAAGGGCCGCAGAACCTGAATTTTTAATTTTTTTTCCAGAAACAACAGGAAAAAAACATAGATTTTTTAAAACATCTTTCCAAAATTTAATTTAATTTTTTTAATATTTTCTCCAAGGGCTAACAGGGCCACAAATTTTATATTTTTAAGCATTTTTTCCGAGGTCTAACACAACCAAAATCTTGGATTCTTTATGAATATTTTTCTCAAGGTCTAATAGTGCTACCAAACATGGATTTTTATTTTAAAGAACCAGAAGTGCCACAAAATATGGATTTTTTTAAGATTTTTATTTCCAAGGACATACAGAGCCACAAACATAGCCGCAAAACGAGGATTATTAATTTTTTTCCAGGAAACATGGATTTTTAAAGTATTTTCCAAGAATCCATGTTTTTCTCCAAGGACCAAGAGAGCCACAAAACGTGTATTTTTAACGATTTTTTTCAAGAACCAAGAGAGCCATAAATTCTATAGTGTTTTAGGATTTCTTTCAGAGGTCCAACACAACCAAAATCTTGGATTCTTTAAGAATATGTTGCCCAAGGACCAAAGAATTTTTAAAGATTTTATTTCCAAGGACCAGGGACCCGAGCTCCAAAACATGTTTTTAAGTTTTTTTTTTCATCAAAAAAATATTTTTTATAATGCTATTAAAGCCAAAAATATTTTTCCAAGAATTCATTATTAATTTTTTCGCTAGCCACAAAAAGTGTATTTTTTAAAGATATTTTTTTCAAGGAGCAACTGAACAACACATTCAATATTTTTTAGGATTTTATTTAAGATGCCCAACACAGTCAAAATCTTGGATTATTTAAGACATTTTTTTGAAGGACCAAAAGGCCAATGACCAACAGTGCCAAAAAACATGTTTTTTAATTTTTTTTTTAATATTTTAATAGGACTATGGAGGTACAAAACTTGCATTTTTTAAAATCAATTGAATCAATAGAGCCAGAAAAAGTGATTTTTTTACAAATATTTTATGAACGACTATCATAGCCGGAATGTGAGATTTTTAAAATATATAAATCACCAAGGAAACAAAAACAAGTAAAAAATCTTCGACCGGGCTAAACTTTTTATACCCTTCACAATTCGGAAGAAACTTGAAAAATTTAAAAAAAACCCCGTCGAAAAATACCGCTCAAATAAAAGCCTTTATATACGATTTCCAACTTCAATTACGAGATTAGAAACAATTCTGGTGAATAATGTCGCTAATATCGTCAAAATACAGAATAACAGGAGGTACCGAAAATACGATATCGTGGACTTATATAGACAATTTTTTTCAGGGGGTAAAGAAGTCACTAAGAACACCTTGTGTAGAATTTAAGACAATTCCATTAAAAAAATTACCTGCCTGCAGATAAAAGACAGATCGGTGCAAAATGTTAGCTTCCTTATTTTATTCGGACGGACGGACAGGGCTAAATCTTTTTAGAATTTTATGCTGATCAAGAATATATGTACTTTGTTGGGTCTAAAATTATTATTACGATGAGTTACAAACAGAATGACGAACTTAATGTACCCTCCCTACTATGTATAGTGGAAGGTATAAAAAAAAGTGTGATTTTTTTACAAAAATATTTTTTCACGGATCGACAGGCCCACATGTAATGTAATGTTTCCTTTAACACAAGACCTGTTATAAAGATGGTAAAGGTCGGACCATTCCTTCTGGTATCGACCCCATTAAGGGTCAAAGTTTTGAATAACCAAAACTATCATAAAATCCGAAATAAGCATCCGGTTCACTTCATATTTCACACATCCCATTATTTCTACTAACACAAGATCTGATATGAAGATGAGATATATCGGTCCCCTCTGTAAGTTCATTTTAAAATCAGTTAAAGGCGTGGACCTGCACCGACAATTTTCTGTCATAGACTGTAGTATCTATTACGAACTTCAAACACCAAATTTGAAACAATTCCGGCGAATAATGTCGCTTAAATAACCAAAATATCGAATAAAAGGGAGTAACTATTATATGGAGGCTATACCAAAACGCGGACCTACATGGCTCATTTTCAATACCAAAAGTCCTGCAGACATAATATACATTTCAGTAAAATTTTATCTACTTACTTCATTTCGTTCGGAAGCCAGAGTGATTTCCACAGACGCACGGACGGACATCCCTAATTCGACATAGAATTTAATGCTTATCAAGAATATACACACTTTTTGTGGTCTAAAATGTATATTTCGAGGTGTTACAAACGGAATGACAAAATTAATATACATTTCATATTATGATGGAGGGTATAAAAATGGCATTTAATCCGTCTCCTGCCTTTAAATACCATAATACCTAACTCATTTTTTGGGATGCCGACAACAGTCAGTAAGGTTAAAATGATTATAATTTCGATTATTAACAAAATTTGTCGGAAAGTTAGTGACGAAATTAAAGTAGTCGCTAGGACCTACCGATAGATACCAATGTTGTCAACCTTAAATTCTTTTTTATATCAAAATTTGGGTTTTTTCTGTAACTCAAAAACTGAGATAGAGAATTGCGCTACAGGTAACAATTTTCATTATGAGTTACACTTGTCTGTTCGAGTTCTTATCTCCGCCCAAGGTAATCCTTTCCTCCTAATCAAATAAACAAACAACGGACAGGTAGAAAACACAGGTTTTAAAATATGTTTTATGAAATGTAAGTTTCGTTACTTACAAAATATATATTTACAGACATACATTTCATTGATTTGATGATCTCGGTTATCTCTAGGAGTTTTGTACAGTTGTGTGTGGTTTTTGTTGTTGTTATAACAAAGTGATTAAATCTACATTAGGAACACTAGCTTAACATACGGTATGGGTGAGTGGTTACGATGAGACCATTCAAATTCGTATGGAACGTTTTACCACACTCGTTGTTGTCGGTGTTGCTGTGGATTTTATTCTGGCATTGTGTGAATTGTGGAACATTTTGTAACGGTTCACTATGCCTCGGACAATATCCTGGTGTGTGTTGGTCTCTTGTTGTTGTTGATTATCGGCACTTGTTGTCTCGGTTCCAGGCCACTGGCCAATGAAACAATTTTGTCTTCGAACGGGTACAGCTTCGCCATGGGTATTTGTGGTTTCCTTTAGTTTATTTGTCTTCTTGGAGACTTTGAAGGCTTGTCTTGGCTGGGTTTCAATTTCTGGATTCTCTCCTGTCGGGGGTAACGATGTCAGCAACATTGAAGCATCCACACGTATGAAGAACAATTTCTGGGGATTGGGAAACAGCAAAATAAAATATTCAAATATTTCCTTGTCATATTTGGCACCATGTTCATCGTACAGCTGGATGGCATTGCGTTGAATGTGCCTTAGATCGAAGGTTTCCATAACTAAAACGAGAATGATGAAATTCATTAATCCAATTGGTATTTAATACTTTTTGCGGAAGAACTTACCTTTGCTAACCACATCCTCATAGGGCAGTGTGGAATCACACTCAATATTCCGTGTTAATCCTTTGTAGGAGACCTTCAGGGTATTTTTCAATGTCATTTTGTATGTTAAATTATTTTTGGGTAATTTTTTAATAGAAAAATAAAATGACACTGCTCTGCTTGCTTGCTCAGTCAATACTGTTTGGTTGCTGTGGCAGAGGCCACACTTTTATGCGTCGACCGAATTCACAGAGTACAGGCCGTTAGATGTGTTAACTCACATGACTCAGTTGTACGTAATTATTCTCTTTTCTCTATAAATTCTCATTATTTGTATTAACCACTCTCTCTCTCTCCCTCTCTGCAAAGGATTTTGTTTTATTTTTTGGCCGTTAAGTGCAGCTCAACATATGATTCCCACTATGCTCTCTCCCCTCTCTTGATTATAATTATCACCCCCTCTCTCTGTTCTAGTTTTAATCAATTTCAATTGCCTATCTCTCCCTCTCATCCATAAAAAAAGGATCTTTAATATAAAAACAACCCTTATTTGCGATAAGGCCAACAGAACATCTGCAATTATTTTTAAAACAGAAAAATAACAACAAAACACTGTTGATTCCCATCGAAACAATAGCAAATGCATTATCTGTGAAGCATTACTGGCCAGCCAGCCAACCAACCAACTAGCAGCTTGACTGGCTGGCGGCTAGGTAGCACGTTCTATAACGTATTTGCACCCTTCTCTGTTTTTCCATTCATACACTTTCTTTAAGTTGTTTTGACAATAAATCATGCGAATTCATGCACGGGCATGTGTTTTTTCTGTTTGTCCTAAATTCTATTTAGGCTGCTCTTTCATGTAATATCGCAGATTATTTGTTGTTGTTTTTGTTTGACACGTACTACAGTGGGATAATACGGGCAAAAAGAAACAATACAGGATAATCGCTATTACTTTGAGTTATTGATTTAGTCAGCTGCAATAAATCATGACTTATTTAAAAAGAGTCTTTGGTGTCCTGCAAGGACAATTACCACAGCACAGAAGGCGGTAAATTATTACAATTAAAAATTTTCAATTTAAAATGGACTTATATTTTCTCAGGAAATTAATGAAAAACTTTCTCAAACCATTGAAAAACTGCAGCCTGAAAAAATTCTCCCAGTTAAGGAACTGCCATACAAAAAGAAGGTCTTGAAAAAAAGACGAATAAAACATGATCGACTTGCGATTTTCCCAATTTAGAATCTCCCATAGGAAATCGTCTTTTTGTTGGAGATCTGTAAAAAGTTTTTTGAATTGGCGCCCAACTCGTTTTTCTATTGATTGACTTTTGGCATTGAAAGTCGATGTCGATTTTCATAAAATCTATTTTTATACCCTCCACCATAGTATGGAGGGTATATTAAGTTTGTTATTCCGTTTGTAACACCTCGAAATGTACATTTTAGACCCCACAAAGTATGTATATTCTTGATCTGCATACAATTCTATGTCGATTTGGCGATGTCCGTCCATCTGTGGAAATCACTCTAGCTTCCGAACGAAATGAAGTGGGTTGATAAAATTTTGCTCAAATATGTATTATGTCTGCAGGACTTCTGGTATTGAAAATGGGCCATGTAGGTCAACGTTTTGGTATTGCCCCCATATAACACTACCTCCCGATATTCGGTATTTTAATTATTTTAGCGACATTTTTCACCGGAGTTGTTTCAAATTTGGTATTTGAAGTTCGAAATGGATAGTAAAGCCTAATACAGAAAATTGTCTGTGCAGGTCCACGTCTTCGTATAGCCCCCATATAACGGTATCTCCCGATATTCGGTATTTTGTTTTTTTTATCCACATTAATACCGATTCCTTTTTAAGTTTCGCATTTGAATATTGTAATGACTTATGACAAAAGTTGCTTATGCAGGTCTACATCGTCCTATAGATCCTAATATAATGGCTACATTCGATATTTTTAAGATTTTAACAGAATTTTTAACGGATTTTATTGTTTTTGAAAATTGCCAAATTCGTTCCAAATGGTGAAGGGTATTAAAAGTTCGGCCCGGCTGAGCTTACACCTTTTTTTACTTGTTCAATCAGTGTTCTTACTACTTTGCGGTCACAAAATATTTGTTCGATTTTTAATTTTTATGGAAACCAAAAAGCAAGCAACAATAAAAATTGTAAAGCCGATGCCAAGATAGATTCTGGTACAGTATCGTAACCGAGTCTACTATCAATTGGACCCGAAGTTGTGGCAAGACTCGTGAACAACATAAAATAAATGACAAGAATGCTGAATTTCTTCATCCCATGTATACCATCGATGGCGCCCAACGTAGTATGGAAACCGATAAACGTGAAATTACATCCAAATATCGAATATGGATCGGAAATAAAAATATGAATTTCAACGGCCAAACCACGTTAATAGTTCGTTGGCTCATATTTGAATAGAATCGCTAAAAATCCAAATGTTAATGCAACCAAATTTTCTTTCTTGCATGCAATTTATTTCAGATACAAATTTCTAAACAACAATGGCGCCCAACGTGTTTTATAAATTAACAAATTGTATAAAAAAATATTTTAAAAACTATTTTTAATCGAAAAAATGTTCTCCACTCTTCAGGGTCAGAAAACTGATTTTTAATACTCCGAGACTGGTGACCCTTAGCTTCTAATATACAGAGTGAGATGAAAAAACTGCAACCAACTTTAGACTGCTGTCATTTCTAAGCCATTCGTCCGGTAGTTGTTAAAATAATTCCAGTGACAGCTCATTATATTTTTTACAAGCGTACAAAAGCAATTTTGTGAGAATTTTCCAGAAAAAATTGTATTCGTGATGGAATTCAAGCGTGATATCTTTATATTTGGCTGGAAAACTACAAGCGGCTACTCCAGCATTTAAATGTAAATAAATCTTTTGTGTCTCGTACCATCGCTCGTTACCGACGTCAAGGAAGTGGACGGAGAAAACAGCAAATTCAGCAGAAATGGTTCGAAAAGTAAAGAAGCGATTTGACCGAAACCCGCGTCGCAGTGGCCGAAAAATGGCTCGTTAGCTGAACATATCGCAATATTCCATTCGGCAAATATTGAAACATTAGCTTGGGGTAAAGCCATTGAAATTTCGAAAAGTGCAAGAACTTACACCGCAGCAGAAAGAAAATAGACTCAAAAGAGCTAAAGAGTTGCTTCGCTTGGGCGAAAGCGGTGAACTGCCGAATTTGGGTTTCTCCGATGAGAAAACATGCGTTGTTCAGCAGTTTGTAAACAAACAAAATGATAGTGTTTCCTATCCAAAGAGGTCAGCTAAAAAAGTGCACCTTCGGTTGGCCAAGCAGAACTCAAGCGACGGCCATGGTGATGGTGTGGACCGCCATAATAGCCGATAGTCGCTCTCCGCTCATATTAATCGACCGTGGCATCAGAATAAATGCCGAATATTACCGCGAAAATATTCTGGAGGGTGTTTTAAAGCCTTGGGCACGCAAATATTTTGTCCGCAGACCTTGGACATTCCAACAGGACTCAGCACCATCGCACTCAGCACGCGCCACCCAAGAGTGGTTACAAAATGAGGTTCTTCGCTTCATTTCCAGCGCACAATGGCCACCAAAATCTCCGGATACCAATCCGTTGGACTATTGTGTCTGGAGTATTTTGGAAAACAAGGATGGCACTAAAAAATACCAAAGTGTCGATCCCCTCAAGCAAGCGCTTTGCCGGAAATGGGCCAAAATACCGCAGAGCAATATTCGAACAGCGTGTGACGGTTTCATTGGCCGTCTGAAAGCCATAATTCGTGCCAAAATTGACCAATTCGAACAAATCTAAACTTATTCTAAAATTTGATGCTATTTCCGACATTTTTTGCTTTTATTCAATAAAATTTAAAAAAATGTAAAAATTATGGCGTTTGACTTTGTTGCAGTTTTTTTATCTCACCCTGTACATTAACTCTTTATTATAGCCTCTTTCTTTTAATTTACAAGACAATTAGTGGTTCAGAGTTTTCACGATTTCCATCCCTAATTTCTTACTGATATGAGTCTAATTAAGAATTTCGGATTTTCGTAGGATAACAATACAGCCCAACGTTGGTCACAACCAGAAAAGTCGTAGGAGGTCAGTATGAATTTTGTGGCATCTTGAAGTCTAGGTTTAATGATTTTTTATACCGTTTCGATATTCGTATGTATTGGGTTTCATCTAATGACAATACGAACGGAAGAAAATGTGGCGCCCAACGTTAGTCATAATAATGTAATTCGATAGTAGCCTCCAGTTTTATAGAAACTACATATTTTGTCTGTTTGTAAAATAAATGGTAAAATTTGAAACCATTTACTGAATTTGTTATTAATTTTTCCTTAACAAATTTTTACAAATATTTTCTTGAAAGATTTTTACAAAGTATTAAGTAACAGAACCAACTTATTTTTGGAAATTCCTTGCTTAATTTATTTATAACTCTGTATGTTCCTTTAATGTTTAAATAAAAAAATAATATTAAAAAATTATAATTTATATAAAATTAATTAATTTAATTACCATAAAATATAATAATAATAAAACATATCTATATTTAAAATATTCTTTTAGAACCACTGTGTTTTATACATCCAACAATAACTAATTTTTTCCCATTTATTAATTTGCCACTCTCTCTCTCTCTCTCTCTTTCTCGTTTTTTATTACAGCAAGAAGAATTTGCCGGAGCTCCAGTGCAATGTCTAATACCGGGCACCAATCAATGGGCATTGGTTGGTGTGTCCTCATGGAGAATAGCATGTGCCGCATCGGGCATTGAAAGGCCAAGAATGTATGACAAAATAGCATCGAATGCCGCTTGGATAAGGGAAACGGTTCATGCGTCATAAGTAAAGTTGGGGGGAGGTGTGTGTGTGTGTCCGTGTGGATGTATGTTTGTGACCAAAGTGTGTATGAGTGAGTGTGTGTGTGCGAGGGTATGAATGGTTATGAGCAAATGGTGTGTGGCATGATCATGCATGTTATCTAGGCTAAAGAAAAAAAAATTAAACAAAATATGCCGCCAAGCAGCAGTAACACTTTGTAAATAGTAGCACTTTATTACTCACTCTCTGTCTTCTCTCTCGTTAGTTCTCTCTCTTTCTCTCTATTTGTTTGGTAAGCAGCATCTAAATTAATGAAAGTAATTTGCATTTTTTTTTTCGTTTTTTCATAATCTATGTTTAATTGTAATGTACTTAAAATGCTCGTAAGCGTAAAACCTACATGTCTATGCATGTAAATAGAACTAGCCTTTATGTGCTTCTTGTTTGATTTGTGTTATCTTAAAAAAGAGTTCAAGAGGGTTTTGGGAAAAAAAATTGTTTAAACAAATCTTGTTTTTCTATCCATGTAGGTCTTAAATTATATTTCTGTATACAGTCGTGCCCGATTTTGGCGAATGTATTGGTATTTAAATTGGACATACCCAGACTTGATGGTCTGAAGGCCTCCATGCCTTCCAGAGGCTCTATTCTTTTACAAGTCATCCATAATTAAAAGACCTTCCAGGGATCTATTATATATAAGGGCTTTCTATGGTTAAAACACCTTGCAGATATTCTTAATTCCTAACTTAAATCCTAGAGGCTTTGGAGATCTTCTATACCAAAAGTTTATTCAGGGGTCTTTACATATAACATATTTCGGTGGTGTTATAAGACTCTTCGTAGATCCTCTGCATTAAAGGCCTTAAAATCGTATTTCATAGACAAAAACTTTTCAGAAAGAAGTGTTCCTTATAGAAAGAAGTGTTCTCTCGATAACAAACAGAAAGGTCATCTCAGAGATCTTTTCATAGATAATTTCTATTATGTAGATGGAAGACATTCCCAACATCTATTCTATGTATACAAGACTCCCAGAGTTCTTATAAATATTGAGGACTTCCAGGTATCCTTTTGATATACACATCCCTGAAATTTTTTGTAGACGGAAGAATTTCCAGAAGTATTATTTGTATACATTCCAGAGATCCTCCATGGGTAGACATTTTAGAAGTCTTCATTAGATAGAAAACCATTCAGAGGTCCAAAGATCTTTCAGATCAGACATAGGCCATCTATAGATGGAAGGCCCTCTCTAGGATATTTCAAAGGTCTTACGTAGATAGATTATTTTTAGAGGTCTTCTGTAGTCCTCTATTGGTAATATATATTTCAAAGTTCTTTTATAGGCCGAATTCTTTCCAGGGGGTTATTTATTGTGTCAAAGTCGTTCAGAGGTCTAAAAAAATCGAATATCTTTCAGAGGTCCTCTATAGGTAAAATACATCCCAAAGAAGTTCTTAAGGAAGTCTGCTTTCAACAGGTTATCTAAAGATTAAAATCCTCCCAAAAGGCATCTACAGAAGCCTTCCAGGGACCATGCGAGATAAAAGCCCCTCTATAGGTCTTTTAAAAATAGAGGGTGTTCAATTAAGCTCTTATTTAGGGGTTTTATAGACCTTTAATGAAGCTTCTGCAGGCTATCTAAAGATTAAAGGCCTCCCAAAATGCTTCTGTACATAAAGGTCCTTCGGAGACCATGTGAGGTCTTCAATAGATAGAAGCCCCTTTATAGCAGCACCTCTATAGATCTACAAATAGAGGGGTTTCTTTTGATCTCTTACTTGGTCTTTGATGGAAAAAGAATCTGCCATAGGTCTTGAAATTATATAGCATTTTCTACAGGCCTTACAATTGATTTTGTTAAAATCGTGCTCGACGGTATTTTACAATAACTTAATACTTTATTTCAAAATTTATTTCGAATAAGGCTTTATACTTTTTAAATTTTTTGTTAAAATTTCAAAATAGGACGCTTGTTATGCATGATTGAGACTGTGTGAATGAGTACAACTGAATGTCTGCAATAATAATTTTTGGGGTCTATTTAAATATTCTATTTAAAATTTTATTTCAACATTTTTTTCCTCTCCAAAAAGTAAATTTAATTTTAAGCAGAGTCCTTTAAAGTTATCAAATAAGACAACAACGAATTATTAACTACACACCCACACAGAAATATGTGTGTCGGTGTTTGTGTATTTGCATGGTATATTTATTTAAATAATATTATTAATTATTACCTTTTTTTTTGTAAAATGTATTTTTATTGTTAGTTAAGATAAGTTAACATTTTGATTTGTGTACACCAACCATTGTTTTTTTGTCCTTGATCCTTCTTTGAAAAATGTTTTACAACAAATAATAAAGAAAATGTGTTACATTATGATAATAATAATAAATAATAAAAATTAATAACAAAAAAATGTTGTTTTGGTATTGTTTTGTATTAGGCATCAACGTGATAGGCCTGCCATTCGCCATTTTCCATTTGTTTATATTGCACGCGATCAGCAATCGTATTCGGCTCCGACATATAGAAATCCCAATATTTGGGTATAATTTTAAAGGCAGTGCTGGAAATAAAATTTGGGAAAAATCTATTTATCTATTTGGTTCGGGGCAAAAGGAATAGATTAAACAAAAAATTAGATAAACATAGACTTTATCCATGGTAGAATTAATTGAAGGTAAGTCATTACAAGAAAATATTACCCAGGTCACCATTTCAAATTTATAACAAATTTCAATTGATAACAGTTTTCCAGTTCTAACTATGTGCATATATTCAGTGATTTTATGAATATACACTTTGGCAATGAAATGTTTTTAAATAGTTTTGAAAAAAGCTTCCTTCATAGTTCTACCATGGAATTTAAAATTATTATTTTGGTTATAACAATCCCACACCGAGATGGTGGCATAAAGAATAATTCTCTTACTATGTTTTCGTTTGTTCCGGTTCCCTTTTTTCCTTTTCCATTATTGCCAGCTGTTCTTGCAACAGCTTCTCAAGCTCTTCCGTATTACTCGGCTTCCCACATTCACAAATGTGACTGCGTATTTTGGCAAACAGCGGTTCCTGTTGCCATAGAATTTTCAATTGTTCCTCATCCAATTCTACAGCTTCGGCACCCATTAAACGTATTTGCCATACCTCAGGCATGACATCCTTTGTCTCAACTCTATGGGCATACGGATAGAAGAGCATGGTTAAACCCAATTTGGGATTCTCTTTAAGATTTCGATATTTTCGAGAATTACGTTCAGTTACAAAACATATCCATGAGTCCTCCAGCAGGCCGCGATATATTACCGAACGATTTAGAACGCCAAATTCACTAAAATTGGAAATTAAGTTTGTTAACAAAAATTATAAGGAAAATGTTGACAGTGATTTACTTATCTAATGTGGCCAAATTCATGGGAAAGATGTGAGGTGCCTTAACCCTTTCCAGTACGTTTTTGAACATTTCAATGGGATTTGTGGGATAGTTTTTAATGCGTGCCAGGCGTGGTAAGTGCTGTAGTGTTAGTAAGACCCCGACCAAGTGTGTGTGTTTGTGATAAATGAAGAATGAAGATTTATTTATTTCAGATATGACTTACCGTTATTTTATCCATTTTTTAGAAATTACTCTGAAAAATATAAAATTTTCAATTAATATTATTTGTTTTAATTAATATTGTTTTATTGTTATATTAGGTATGTCATGTTCCAAAACCTGCAAGAATCTACTAGTTTTGCATTTTTTTTCGATATCATAAACGGAAAAATCGGTTATGGTTGTAAAAATTTAACATTGTTGTATTTCTGTTGCAGAGCACATTGTTGTAGTTCTGTTGCAGATTTTTCTCATTTTTATTATATTTCCACCAACAGTACTTCAAATAATGATGGGATATATTAGTTGACTCATTCTGGTCACTATTTAATTCGGTGTCTCCGGCATAATACCCACAGTCATACTTTACATACATATTTTGACTTTAAATTCCTTTATTATATAATTTTATAAATTAATTGCTTGCCAATTTTTTATATTTCGTTAATATTTTGTATTTTTAAGACTTCATTCTTCGTTTTTTCTAATGCAACTTCTAATTTATTCCTTAAAAATCACCACAATGACAACACTGATTAGATACAACTGATAAGACGGCGTTGCGCTATTAGAAAAAGTAAACGGCGTTAAAAAAAACACGTAACACGACTTTGTTTCACCGCCCCACTCAATTGGAATTACAGCTGTTCTAGTTTTTAGTTGTTTTCATAAACAAAACAAATCTTGTCGTCACTGCAAAGCACCACCAGCCAAAACAGATGTAGAAGAAATAGTTTTTTTTGTCATCGCCCAAACAAAAAAGAGACCAGCACAAAGCTGATATTTTTAACAAGAAAAAAAATGTGCAACACAATTTGCTCTCTGAGCCAACTGAAACGTTTGCATTAAATCAAGTGGAAATACATCAATCGAAGGCCCAACAATGAGTATTCTGGACATGAGATCCGGCAAACCCTCCCTGGCTGAGGAAATTAGTAACTTCTTTTTACCACTGAAGTATCTCATAACCACAGATCGTTTCGATGCCTTTGTGGAGAATATCAATTTCAATTATTTGGCCAATGCAGTTTTCTGGATATTTCTACTCTTCAGCTTTGGTTTTGTTGGTTTTCACAATTTGTTTCAGGTAAGTTCGATTGGTGTTGTGTGTGCGGAACATCCTTGGTGGTAATTAAAAATAGATTTATCGGGGCTTGTCAGCCACCAGAGAAAAGGAAAGAATTACCTTTCAGTAGAATACTTGAAATATTGCACTTTGTTTGCCGACCCGGTGGGCTGTTGCACTCGCGTTGGACGAATGAAAAATTGTTATTGATTGATTTCATTTAATAACAAAACCAAATAACTTATCTGTAGAGTTATTGGCTTTTTATTGCAAAAAGAAAACAAAGTCGGGAGAAGTGCAATTTAAGATGACCGGCGTCAATGTTTTTCTTGACCATACATATCCAGAATATCCATAATTATAATTGTTGCTATTTGAGTAAGGTATAATTTAAAACATTGCTAGGAATTGAAATTATGTTTCTAATCCATTTTATAGCTTTTCTAGTTGCACAGATGCATCGCCGCTAATTGGCAGCCGGCCTTGCTCTATATTTCATCAGCAGACGAAGTTATTGTGATTGCCAATGGGGTTTGTGTCGAAGCTAAATGGTTCGTGTTAGTCGTTGGATATAGTGCGTTGCCAACGATATTTTTAGTTTTAAAATTGAAATTCCGTCAATTATTTGTTACATGGCTCAGGTTTGGAACTGTAAAATCCATTGTTTAGCCCTTTTTCTAGAGATCTTCAGGAAATCAGCCATCCTTTTTATTATGTCTTGTCCGATGAGCGCAATGTTCTTTACACGTAATGCTATTTTGAAATGCATCAGGAACTTTTTACATTTTATCATCAGTGATGTCCTCAGTAATTTAGAACCCTTTTTCTCAGCAGGGGCAGATACAAAACTAGACTTTTATTTAATAATACTTCTCTTATTCTTTTATTCAATTTGATTGGAAGTGTTAGAGGTGAAAAGCTCCATGTGAAAGGAATCTTTTAAATGCTTTTTTAAAATTATGAAACTAACGATAGGATCCGTAACCTGAAGCCTCATAATTTTTTAATGCCATCCGAAAAAAACCTAAACAGACCTGCAGGTAACACTCTATGTAAAATTCTTATTAATTCTTAATATTAGCGACATGGAATAACCACGGATTTGTTTAAACCGTATTTTTCCTTCTAAATGGCGGAGAGTATAAGTTCGGCCCGGCGAAATTATATTCTTTTTTACTTGTTCATTTAATGATTTACCACTGATGTGTAACTTTAGGTAGTAAGGAAGTCTATGAAAAGACTTGAAAAAAAACAAATACATCTTCTATACTCTTCACAGTATTCCGATCTAAGTCTATATTGCAGATCTTGAAGTCGCCAATTATACCCTAATTATTTTACAACTTTATTTTTGTATATTTCAAAGGAATTAATTTTAATCTCTTTCCCTCTTTTCAGGTCTTTCTAAAAACTTCGAATATTAAATACTATAAACGTAAACAATTTTCCCGTTCCATCTGGAATATAGCCTTCTATGCTGCATGTACTCTCTTCCTGTACATGTACAATGAATGGGTGATATTGCCGCAGTTGCTTAAGAATCAAGGACGTTACTCTCTATTCTATTCATCTGAAGATCACATCTTTTATAAATCTCAACAATGTGAAAAATTTCAATTCTATTCGCTGTTTATTATAACATTTTATCTACATGGTGCTATGTTGGATTTCAAAGAATCTGATTACTTGGAGTCGGCATCAAAGGCTCTCTTTTTAATGTCATTGGTGGCTATTGATACCTACAGGTAAAATTCTACTTTTTACTATTTTATATTTTAAACTGAAACAATTACTCTTTTTCAGATATGAAAACTATTTTGTGGGTGTTAACCTGATTTTGGGAATCTATAATATCATTACAGAAATTCTCAGTCTTTTGGCATTGCAAAATTCGAAGAGAAATATTTTGGTGTATCAGATATTCTTGGGGTTTCGTATTGCATCATGGTAAGCAAAAATCATTTTTAATTCCATAGAATACCGAAATTGGTTGCCTGGTTATTCAAAAGTTTTTTGTTTTTATAAATTTGGCTCACATTGTATAAAAATTATTTTCCCTCCTAGGTTCCATGTCTTCATCACTTTGCTGCCCTTTAAGTATTTGGTACCCACTCTGTTTGCCAAGAATTTCAAAATTAGCCTCAATATTGTCATATGGCTTTGGTATGGCCTAAGTATTTGGAATTCACCAATTCTACAATATTTCTATCATCAAATTTACCACAATACACCAGCTGATTGTTCGGGTGAAGGATCGGCAGCCAAGTGTATTTTGCTAAAGGATTCAAGTGAGCATCGTCATTTCAAGACCTTGAAAAAAGCGTATTTAGAAGTGAAATTGGCGCATGAAAAACTAAATAGCAGTAATATGGCTGCAACGGGAACGGAGAGTTCATCGACCAAGGCCTATCAAGCTATTAAATGTAAGACTATTGGTAACAATTTAAAGACACTTTTTTCAAATTAATAATATTCTTCATTTCAGGTATTATGATTTTGAAGCGTAAATTAAAACGCATACGTGAAGGACGTGGCAGTGAGGTCGAAGATGACAATGACGATATGGTTGTAACTGATTGTTAACCCAAGCCCCCCATATTCTAACACATAACTATGTCTCCCTATTTAAGTACTGTGAAACCTATCGTTAATTGGTAAATTTTTGACTCCTTTTTCATTGGAGTTAGAGTGACCATTATTTGGGGATATCACAGTACTTACCACCATATTTTATTGCAATTTAATGCAAACATTGTATTAGTTTATTTTATGAAAAGTTGCTTGTTGGTACATTACTCGTTACTCAAACGGAAACTGTAATTTCCCTCATTTATAAAGACACAATTTCCATGACTCGATTAAATATTTACACACACACAAATACACACTTAACAATATATAAAAAATAAAAGCATATAAAAAGTGTTTTTGCGTCCGCCTTGAGATAAAAATGACGAGTTTTATTTAAAAGAAGAAATCAAGACCTAAGTCTATCATGGTGGAGAATAAAACTAATTTTTCCAGGACCATTAAGGCCATAAACGTGGATTTTGTAAAGAACATTTTTCAATGAATATTAGGGCCATAAACGTGGATTTCAAAAGGATATTTTTTCAAGGACCAACGGAGCCATAAACTTTGATTTTTTAAAGAATGTATTTTTTGAATTCCATCAAGCGTATAAACGTGGATTTTTAAAGAATATTTTTTCAAGGACTATCCAGACCATAAACGTGGATTTTTAAAGAATATTTTTTCAAGGACTATCCAGACCATAAACGTGGATTTTTAAAGAATATTTTTTCAAGGACTATCCAGACCATAAACGTGGATTTTTAAAGAATATTTTTTCAAGGACTATCCAGACCATAAACGTGGATTTTTAAAGAATATTTTTTCAAGGACTATCCAGACCATAAACGTGGATTTTTAAAGAATATTTTTTCAAGGACTATCCAGACCATAAACGTGGATTTTTAAAGAATATTTTTTCAAGGACTATCCAGACCATAAACGTGGATTTTTAAAGAATATTTTTTCAAGGACTATCCAGACTATAAACGTGGATTTTTAAAGAATATTTTTTCAAGGACTATCCAGACCATAAACGTGGATTTTTAAAGAATATTTTTTCAAGGACTATCCAGACCATAAACGTGGATTTTTAAAGAATATTTTTTCAAGGACTATCCAGACCATAAACGTGGATTTTTAAAGAATATTTTTTCAAGGACTATCCAGACCATAAACGTGGATTTTTAAAGAATATTTTTTCAAGGACTATCCAGACCATAAACGTGGATTTTTAAAGAATATTTTTTCAAGGACTATCCAGACCATAAACGTGGATTTTTAAAGAATATTTTTTCAAGGACTATCCAGACCATAAACGTGGATTTTTAAAGAATATTTTTTCAAGGACTATCCAGACCATAAACGTGGATTTTTAAAGAATATTTTTTCAAGGACTATCCAGACTATAAACGTGGATTTTTAAAGAATATTTTTTCAAGGACTATCCAGACCATAAACGTGGATTTTTAAAGAATATTTTTTCAAGGACTATCCAGACCATAAACGTGGATTTTTAAAGAATATTTTTTCAAGGACTATCCAGACTATAAACGTGGATTTTTAAAGAATATTTTTTCAAGGACTATCCAGGCCATAAACGTTGATTTTTAAAGAATATTTTTTCAAGGACTATCCAGACCATAAACGTGGATTTTTAAAGAATATTTTTTCAAGGACTATCCAGACCATAAACGTGGATTTTTAAAGAATATTTTTTCAAGGACTATCCAGACCATAAACGTGGATTTTTAAAGAATATTTTTTCAAGGACTATCCAGACCATAAACGTGGATTTTTAAAGAATATTTTTTCAAGTCTCATCCAGCCTATAAACGTGGATTTTTAAAGAATATTTTTTTTTTCAAATCCTATCAAGCCTATAAACGTGGATTTTTAAAGAATATTTTTTTTTTCAAATCCTATCAAGCCTATAAACGTGGATTTTTAAAGAATTTTTTTTTCAAAGTGGAACCATTTTGTCAACTTTAAATTTTTGAAAATAATTGTTTAGATACCTACCTCCGAATTCAATCTTGAAGCAATTAGAAAAAACACTCCCTTTTTTGTTAGTAATTTTTCATTTTTGTTAAATTTATTAAATTCCTTTAAAGAAATAATAAATGTTTTTGTTGTTGTTGTTCTGTTAAATGTTCATTTCATTTTTGTTTCTTATCTTTTGGTTTTTCTTCTTCTTGTTGTTGGTTGTTTGTTTTGTTTTGAGTAAAAAATAAGTTTTGTTATGTGTTTTTTGTTTTATTTTTTTTGTTTGGTTTCAATTTTTAATTTATTTTTTATTTTATTTACAATTTAAATATAATCTTCTTCTTTTTTCAGTTTTTTTTGTTTTACTCATTTTGCATTAACTTCATATTATTTAACTTAACATGTTTTCATTTATTCTCCTCAGCATATTTCGATCGTTTGTTATTCGTCGTTTTAGATTTTATGTTTTTTTTTAATAATTTTAATTTTTTTGTTTTGTTTTAAATTTCAAACATTCGTAAATTGTTGCGTTCTTCCCTTGGTTTCATTTTAATGCTTGTTTTTCAGGGGGGTGTTTTCCTCTTGGTTTCGAATTAAATTAAATTTGTTAATGTTACTAAAAGACTAAATGTAAGTTAACTGTTTGTAATGGTTTCTTCTTCATCGTCTTCTTCCATTTTTAATCTCTTTTGACTTGATTTTTGTTAAAACATAAGCTGAAAAGTCCCACTTGGAAATATTTTTAAACTTCAATTTCACCTAATGTGTTTTGAAACAAAAACCGAGGAATGTATTTTATGCCGGAAGTTCCGGAACTTTTTAGCTTATGTTTTAATAATTTATTTAATTTTTAATTCGATACTATAATTGTTTTTATTAATATCGTTGTTATTTTATTTTAGTCCCCAACCATGCTTAAGTTTTGTGGTTTTCCTTAAATCTTTTATAGGTTTTGCATTTTGACTTAACTAATTTTTTATAAATAATTTGTTATTTTTTCATTATTAATTTGCATTCTTTTTTTCTTATTATTATAATGAACAATGTTATTTTTTAATAATTTTTTATTATTAAATATTAAACAATTTTCCATTTTTATATTTTTTTGGTATCTAATTTTTTTTAAATTTATATTAATTTAATTCTGTTATTTATTTTTTTTTTGTTTCCTAAATTACGAGTATGTATATGATGTTATTTTTTGTTGTGGTTTTGTTGTTATTTTTTGTTTTGTTTCTTATTAATGCAATAGTTTGCTGTCCAAACACTTATCTTCTAGAGTAACGTTAAAATATTATTAAGTATTTCATTATTAATTATTTCTAATCTGTATTAAATGTTTTTTTTTTTTGGTTTTATTTTTGTTTTTTTTTTATTTTCTTTCTTTTAATTTATTTTAGTTAATGTTAACAATCGTTTAGTCACAATTTGCTTTCACTTCTCTTTTATCAATGTTTTTTTCTGTTAATGGCAAATTCGCTTAAAATTTTCATAGAACTAAATTGTTATTTAATTTCCAAATTGTTATTTTATCTATATGGGTGGTTCTATAGAATTTATTGGAGGCTTTTGAAAAAAAAATCGAAAGTATTGATTTTTTTTTAAATCATACAAAATATTCATTACATTTAGACAACCTTTTCAAATTTTGATAACATAGAAGGGAATTTTTTGTACTCAAAAGATTTTTTATGGGAGGATGAATCACCTTTGGATGGAAAATTCGGGCGGCTCATGTTTACAACATCCTAAAATTTGTTAAAAATGGCAAAAAAAATTACTAGGTCGGTGAATCGCGGTACTACAGGATTTCGTTTTCCTTTGCCCTATTGTGTAACCAAATCAAACAAATGTCGATATTTGTCACACATGAATTTTAGTTGAGTCCCAGCTTCTCTCTTAACCGCATTGACCGCCAACAGTGCACAGTGGTCCCACATGTATTGGAAGGTGCAATAAAAATGTTTCCATACAACTAATTGACCTGACTTTTTTTGGAGTGAAGCTTCATAATGAGTAAAGAATATGTAGCTAACAAGAAAAAAAGCTGTAAATTCGGCCGGGTCGAACTTTGAATACCCTCCACCATTTGGAACGAATTTGGTAATTTTCAAAAACAATAAAATCCTTTAAAAATTCTGTTTACATCTTTAAAATATCGAATGTAACCGTCATATTAGCGTCTATACGACGACATGGACCAGCTTAAGCCATTACAATATTCAAATGCGAAATAAAAAAAAAGAATTGTGGATAATGTAGCTAAAATCAGCAAAATACCGAATATCGGTAGGTACCGTTATATGGGGGCTATACGAAGACGTGCAACCCTGCACAGACAATTTTCTGTCTTAGGCTGTAGTATCCATTACGAACTTCAAATGCCAAATTTAAAACAATTCCGGAGATTAATGTCGTTAAAATACCAAAACGTGGGCCTACATGGCCCATTTTCGATATCAAAAATTCTGCAGACATAAGGCACATTGGAGTAAAATTTTATCAACCTAATTCATTTCGTTCGGAGGCTAGAGTGATTTCCACAGACGGACGGACATGGCTATATAAAATCCCTATTTCGAGAAGTTACAAACGGAATGACAAACTTAATATACCCTCCATACTAGGTATGGAAGGGGGTATAAAAATAATGCGATATGCTAACTTTGATCAATATCAGACAGCTATTTCCTTCTTAAATCTTAATCTTATTATTAACAAATTTTGACTTTTTGCGAAGAAATAGACCCACTTTGCCCTTCTACGAAACAAACTTGATAAAAATATTACGATATACCAAGTTTGAACCGATTCAGATATGCACTTTGAGAGTTATCGCGCACACCAGCCGACCAGACAGGACATGGCTAGATCGACGCCAATTAAAGGGATTTCGTCCAAAGAGACCTAAAACCATTTTTCCCTCTGGAAATGGAAACAAAATAATTAGTTTTATCCCTCCTCTGAACGACTATGGTTGTATATACGCTTGAATAATTCTGAGAAATATTGCGATATAACTTTAATAGTGCTCCGTCAGCTCCGTATAAAAAACAAACAAATTTGGGACACAGAAAAACCCGTATGCATTCTTTGAAAATTCGATACATGGTTTTAGGCTCAGAAGGGTAATTTTTCTTCGAAAATTAATTAAGAGAGGTCGTTACATTATCCGGCCATTTTAAATGAATTTTGGTTAACAAAAATTGAAAAGGCGGACCCAATTGTACGGGTTGGGATTTAAACAGACAGATATACATGGCTGCATTGTGGAACGGAATGACATATTTAATATTGAGGGAGACTGGGTGCTTTGGAATAATTCTACACATGGTGAATATCGAGAAAATGAGAGTTACTCCCAAATTCGGCGAGTTTGTG